GGTTTTTTTTTTTTTTTTTTTTTTTTTGTAAATTTCATCACTAGTAATGTCACCTACTCGGTAAATGGTGAAGCATGGATTCAAACCCAGACAGGCTTCGCCTGCCGTCCTGGCACTTGGGGAGGAAGATAAGAAGGAACTGGTGGTCAAAGTCATCCTTGATTACATAGAAATTTTGAGAGCCTGTCTCAAACAACAAAACAAAACACGGCAATACCAACACCTTCTTGTTTGTTACATTTCCCACAGCCTTTTAGCTAACATCGAGTGTAGTATTAAATGCAGGTGGCCTAGCTCTGGAGTCTAGGCTCTTTAACTGTGGTGTCATACATACTCCCTCAAGTGTACAGTGTCTCAGACACATGTGCACACACTGATGGCCACAGGCCATGTTGTCACACACTGATCTCCCCTGTGCTGAGAGCTCTATCACAATGACAATTTACCAAGAGCCATGGAGATGACTTCAGCCTCACATACTCCAGGTCATACATGCTCAAAGGCACAACACATTAGTCTCTCGTCACAGACCAAGTCCCCAAGTGACACCAGGGCTTGGAAGGCTTTTGCTCAACATTTTCCCCTGAGGATCTTCCAAACAGTATAATCCTAAAGGTCACAGCTTTGCACTAGAAAGACCCTAAATTTATTCAGTGGACAGATGGGGGGCACAAAAAAAGGACCCACCAAGTCCCACAGCAGCTAGGCTATAGCTGAGTGGGACCTTCAGTCTTCCATCTTCCTTTGCTTTGGCTGTGGGCCTCCCCTGCCTCTGGGCCTTTCGTTTTATGAAGCCTTAGTGCCTGGGCTACACTCCAGATCCCAGAAAAGTCTGAGGGATCTTCTTGTTCCCCATGCTGCCCTCTTCTCAGCTGGGGTCCAGGAACAGATCAAAGAGGGAGGGGAGCTTCCCACTCCCCATCTGGGGCCAGACCCTCACCTAGCTGGGAGTTGAGGCCATCATCCCTGTTGCCTGCTTCACATATAATCCATGGAAGAATATGTATGCATAAACACATATACATGAATTCCGCGTATCTCACTCGGAAGTCTCCTGTAGCTCAGAGATGTCCTCAAACTCACTATGTAGCAGGGGATGACTTTAAAGCACTATCCTTCTGCCTTTCCTCCCAAGTGCAGGGATTACAGATGTGGGCCACCACTCCCAACCCTCTTCTTTTTTCTGGAGCCTTCTTCTCCTTTCCATCACTCTATTTAATGAAAGAATCACACTGGAACAGCCCATGCACAGCAAATGGAGGAACCAGGCTCTAATCCCACTCAGCATCTTGTCACTAGAGTGGAGGCTGAGGCTGCTCAGTCACCATTGCCTCCAGCGAGAAAGGGATGACAAGGACCTTCCTGCTAAGGATGAGCAGGACAGTTAAATTAGATAACTTGATTAGACGCTTAGCACCGTGTCTGGCATGTAGCAAGCCCTTCTTAAATGAAGGCTCTAATAAGGTTGAGTGAAGTACTTGGAAAATTTCGCAGGACTGTATACAAAGTAACTCTCCCAATTCCGGCTGCATGAAATTTAGGGGAAACAGGATTTAGGGGCTGGAGAGATGGCTCGGGAGCTAAGAGCACTGGCTGCTCCTCCAGGGGATCAGGTTTAATTCTCAGCACCCACAAGGCAGCTCACAATGTCTGTAATTCCAGTTCCAGGGGGTCTGATGCCCCTCTTCTACCTCCTCGGGCACTGCTTACACATGGTGTACAGACATACAAGCAGACAAAATACTCATACACATAAAATAAAAATAAATGAATATTTTTTAATTTCTTTTTGAAGCCAGAATTAGTAACAATTTCCTAAGTTGAAGATCGGAGTCTGAATGGTGACACTGGAATGAAGACTCAGATCCCTAGTTTTCAGCTGTCGAGGCCACCCATGCTGCTTACTGCCCAATCTCCTTGTGGCTGGAAGCATTTGTTAGCCACTGTGTGTAGGTGCCGGGGCCTAAAGGTGATGCTATCTGGCCTGGAGCTCTGAGAGAGCAGGGGCTGTATCCTTTTACTCTTCCACTCAGAATTGCCAGAGATGCCCAGTGGCCCAGCCAAAGCTCCTGTCCTCTCTTTTCAGGTGATGCCCTTTCTCTGAGGAAAACCTGTGACTGGAGGAAGGGGCTGCCCCTTCATCCCACCTGGCTGAAATGAACACCTCAGCGCCCCCTGCTGTCAGCCCCAATATCACCGTCTTGGCACCAGGAAAGGGTCCCTGGCAAGTGGCCTTCATTGGGATCACCACAGGCCTCCTGTCTCTGGCTACAGTAACAGGCAACCTGCTGGTACTCATCTCCTTCAAGGTCAACACAGAGCTCAAGACAGTCAACAACTACTTCCTGCTGAGCTTGGCCTGTGCTGACCTCATCATTGGCACTTTCTCCATGAACCTCTATACCACATACCTGCTCATGGGCCACTGGGCTCTGGGCACACTGGCCTGTGACCTCTGGCTGGCCCTGGACTATGTGGCCAGCAATGCCTCTGTCATGAATCTTCTGCTCATCAGCTTTGACAGGTACTTCTCAGTGACCCGACCCCTGAGCTACCGAGCCAAGCGCACTCCCCGCAGGGCAGCTCTGATGATTGGCCTGGCGTGGTTGGTTTCCTTCGTCCTCTGGGCCCCAGCCATCCTCTTCTGGCAATACCTAGTTGGGGAGCGGACAGTGCAGGCCGGGCAGTGCTATATCCAGTTCCTCTCCCAACCCATCATCACTTTTGGCACAGCCATGGCTGCCTTCTACCTCCCTGTCACTGTCATGTGTACACTGTACTGGCGAATCTACCGGGAGACAGAAAACCGAGCCAGGGAGCTGGCAGCCCTACAGGGCTCTGAGACACCAGGAAAAGGTGGTGGCAGCAGCAGCAGCTCAGAGAGGTCACAGCCAGGGGCTGAGGGCTCACCGGAGTCCCCTCCTGGCCGCTGCTGTCGCTGTTGCCGGACGCCCAGGCTTCTGCAGGCCTACAGCTGGAAAGAGGAAGAGGAAGAGGATGAAGGCTCCATGGAGTCCCTCACTTCCTCTGAGGGCGAGGAACCCGGCTCAGAAGTGGTGATCAAGATGCCCATGGTAGACCCTGAAGCACAGGCAACAACCAAGCAGCCCCCCAAAAGCTCCCCAAATACAGTCAAGAGGCCCACCAAGAAAGGCCGAGAGCGAGGTGGCAAGAGCCAAAAACCCCGAGGAAAGGAACAACTGGCCAAGCGAAAGACCTTCTCGCTGGTCAAGGAGAAGAAGGCGGCTCGGACCCTGAGTGCCATCCTGCTGGCCTTCATCCTCACCTGGACACCATATAACATTATGGTGCTGGTGTCTACCTTCTGCAAGAACTGTGTTCCCGAGACCCTGTGGGAGCTGGGCTACTGGCTGTGCTACGTCAACAGCACTGTCAACCCCATGTGCTACGCACTCTGCAACAAAGCCTTCCGGGACACTTTCCGCCTGCTGTTGCTCTGCCGCTGGGACAAGCGGCGCTGGCGCAAGATCCCCAAGCGCCCTGGCTCTGTGCACCGCACCCCCTCCCGCCAATGCTAATGGCCTCCCTCTCCTGCATCCTTTCACCCCAGCTCCAGGGAGAGGACGGTGGAAAGTGTCCATAGGCTGTATCTTCAGCCTCAGGGCCCTGCTTAGGCCTCCCCTGGCTTCCCAGGCCCCTGGGTCACCTTCCTGGACTGCCCTGAGAGACTGCTAGCTTTCCAAACTTTGCTATTCCCAGACAGGGAGTGAAACCCGGGGAACTGGTTTTTCTGTTCCCTGCTGTGTGGGAATAGGCTGTTCACCAGGAAGAAGGCCCAGGAGGAGGAGGATCCGGGCTTTGGATTCTGTTTGCGTTTAGGCAGGAAGTCAGGAGTCAGCAGGGCCGGCAAGTAGTTTAACGGTGCAGTCTTCCTTGGTCCTGCAGGGGGCCCAGATTGCAATGGGAGATAGCACCCCCTGGGTCTGCAGGTGGGAGCTGATACCAAGTTTGGGATAGAACGAGCTGGTGACCCCTGGTGGAGTCACCAGGTGGAGGTGGAGATCCCCTCCCTGCACAGGCATAGCCCATCAAGGTAGGCCCTAGGCACACTCTCCGGGATTGTCCAGCCTCCCTACAAATGTCCCCAGGCCACCTCCATGTGAGTCACCTCCAAGGCAAACGTCCAGGCGTGAGCAGGACAATGATACCAGAGGAGATCAGCTTGACTAAACACACCAAGTCCCGAAGCTGCAGCAGGACCAGATGTCAGGTGTCCTAAATGACCCACTATGCCACTTTCTGGGGTGGGGGGAGGGGGGACAAGGTGCCTGCTATCCAGTCCCACACCCATCCTCCTCTCTCCCTGCCCCAAAGTAACCTGGGTCCCTCCCTCCTGGCTCACAGCCACCACCTGGGTGGATCTGCTCTGGGCGGATCTAGCCAGGCCTCCCGCATGCTGCCTGCCTCCAGTCTTGCCCCACACAGGCCTGGCCCAGCCAGCAGGTTCTCTTCTGTAAACTCCCTAGTCCAACCTATGCATGGCCTCCCTGCCACCCTAATCCCCAGGCCCTGCTGGCCCCAGATGTTCTGTCCTTCCATCCTCAGCATATGCTGAGTCTGTGAATAAAAGCCACGTAACCAGCAGCGGGCACTACGAGGAATTCCTCCCTGTTTTGGCTCCAGGCCCTGGTCCCCAAGGCCAGGACTGGATGGGGCAGGGAAGGCACAAGTACTGCATGCAGAATGTGGGCTGCAGCATTTAAGGTGGACCCAGGAAGGACAGCACCGAATGGCTAAAGCCTGTGGGTCCCAGCACCCTGGGGCCCGTGGCTCAGGTGAGTGGTGCTAAAGTCGGCAGGCCTGACCTCTGGAAATGAGTGGCTAGGTGAAATGCCCCTGTGTATTGCGTACATAGCTGCTCTAGAATCTTACCATGCCCAGAAAAAACAGAATTCCTCCAAACTCCGTTGTAGATGGGGAAACTAAGACCCGAAACACCCAGACTTCCAGGTAGTCCACATCCTCCTGACCCCTAGACTGTGGAGATGACAAACCTACAATAGTCTAGGCCAAAGCCATCCATCAGGGTAACCTCCAAGCCACAATATTAGTAAGGGTGGGTCCCAAAGTCTAATGAAAAGGAACCTGAAGAGATTAACCTCACAGCCCTGAGCAGTTAAGAGTCCCAAGACCAACCTTAATGTCAGTGATTTGCTGGGAAAACACACAGAACTCTACAAAGCCACTAGAGTCACTGTCATGACGAAAGCATTCAGAAGCAAATGACAACAGAAGAAAGTACACAGAGCAGAGTCCCAGAGTAACTAGGCACAAGATGCCAATTCTCTTTTCAGGGAGTCACAGAATGCTTAATTCTCCAACAGTGATATATGACAGCCTGTATAGCATACTGCCAGCCAGAAAATCCCCAGCAGAACCTTGATGCCTGGCGTTTTTACTAGAGGCTGGGCATAGGGGTATGGCTGACTGTCCACATGGCTGACCTCAGTTAGTACCTAGCCCCTGTAGAGGTTTAACTGTTAGAGTGTGGTCCATGACCTCTACCACAAATTATATTTTCAAAATAGATTATCTGGTGTGGTCCAGGGTACACAGATGAGCAAAGATTTTCTTCTAGGTTGGATAGTCCAATGGTTTGCCATGATTCCCAGGAGCCAAACAAGGCCTGCTGAGCTAACAGTGACCCAGACCTGGAGCACCGCTGTCACCTGGGAACTTATATAGGTAAATTCTTGGGGTCACCATGGATTTACTGAAATGGGAATTCTGAGGATGGAAACCAGCTGTCTGTAACCAGCAGCCTCAAGGTGATTCTGGTACAGGCTAAAGTTTGAGGGGGGCGGAAACTATCCTAGAGGGCTGAAGTCCTAGGTGGGATTTTAAAAAAAAAAAAAAAAGCTCTCAGAGGAAGGAGTAGGGATTCATCCCACACTGTTCGCTGCCTGAATTGAATTCCCAGAAGCTTTTGGACTTTGAGAGCTAGTTTGGAGTTTCTAGCTGGGGAATGCATCTCCTGGTATACCCTGGGCCCCAAAAGAGTCCTGCTCTATCTAAAAAGATCCCTCCTCTTCAACTAAGCTTGCAGCTTTGGATAGCATGAACATGAAGGGGTAAGAGAGGAAGAAGCCAGTCACTAGTAATCAGTGGGGTGACAGATGTCTCACTCGAGCACGCTCACATCACCCATAACCTTTGGGACGGAATCTTGCGACAGTGTGGGCAACGGTAGCCCACTAAAGAGGTAGACAAGGAGAAGCTGGCCAGAAGCTGCTGGAGACACAGAGGTGTGAGAATGACCCTCAGATATAAACCCTGGACCCCTGGACCACCCGCACAGCCCCTCCACAGGTTGTCAAATGAAACCCTATGAAGCTTTCTTTCTTGCCACTACTCCCTTGTAGCCCTAAGTCCCCTTCAGGGATAATGTCATGCCTGTGTCAAAGGCATGGGGGTGGAGGGACTGAGGGAGCAGTCAAAGAGGGAAGCTTTGGGATCAGTGGAACTTGCCTCTACTGGAGACAAGGGAGGTGGTGTGGGACTAGCATCAGGATCAGTAATAGGAGTAGCAGCTTACACTTGTCACTTGTTTCCTGTCCTGGGGACCTCACCATAGTCCTGCCTTGCCCCCCACCAAATAATTTCAGGTATGCCTCCTGTCTTCAGTGTCTTCCTCTCTAAAAGGAGAAACAAGCCCCTTGCAGGTGTCAGAGGGATGAGGCAAACTGGTAAAGAGCACTTAGTGGCTGCACCATCCGTGTGCACCATCACAGAAGACGCTGCCACAGTTTAAGGCTGGATTAGGTCTAGTTTCTCTCCACGCCAAGAAGAAATCTCATCCTAACATGACTGGGTTCGAAGCATGTCCAGGAGCACACGGGCAGGAAGGGGTATAAACTTCAGGTGAAATCTGAGTCCTGTGGACATCTGAAGAAAGCGTCCTGCAAACCAAGGAACATACAAGCCAGAAGGGAGAAGGCGCTTGCATGGGCAACCGTCCATCCCAAACACTGCACCCACTCCTGCCCTGAGGGAGTCAGTCTTTTCACCCCAAGAACAAAGACCTTTTCGTAAGGGGGAAAAAAGGTCGCTTTGTAAATACCATGTCTTCTGCCAGTACCGCTAGACTGGAGTCTGCCTAAAGAAGTGGAACAGGTTAGGAACCTCCTACACGCAAAGCCTCACCCCATCATTTCCACTGTGCCACTTTAGCGCCACCTTCTGGCAATTCATGAAATAGGCTTCCCAAGAAACCTGATAACGTGCCTTGGACCAGGTTCCCCAGACAACGAACCACAACATAAAATGATACAGTAAGTGATCTTGGTCACCCCAGCAACTACCACAAAACTTCAGGAGAATCCAAAGCCACAGAAGGCTCATAAGGCCCTATAAACATTCAGAAACAGGCCCTTCCCTCTCTGACTAGTACAGCATCATCAGTGAGGCCATGGACATGAGGTGTCTTGACTTTTAGGGATAGCTCCATCCAACTCTCAAAAACAAACAAAAGCAAGCCCGTGACCTAGAGCCTTCCTATTCTTCCTTTTGGGTGACCTATCCTTGCAGAGTCCTTGGTTTCATTCTCAGTCTTGCTCTGGTTTCACAGGACTGACTCCAAATTAAAATTGTATTTGGAACCTGCTGAGCAAGAGTACTATTTGGGCTGTGTGGCGTTGTGGTACACGCCTTTAATCTCAGCACTCGGGAGGCAGAGGCAGGCGGATCTCTGTGAGTTTGAGGCCAGCCGGATCTACAGAGTGAGTTGAGACAGCCAGGGCTACACAGAGAACCCCTATCTGGAAAGAAGACAGAGAGAGACACAGACACAGAGACAGACAGACAGACACAGACACACACACACACACACACACACAGAGAGAGAGAGAGAGAGAGAGAGAGAGAGTTCTTTCAACACAGTTAGTTGTCCTCTGCCAGCCTTAGGCTCTAAAGGACTAAATGGTATTGCTTCTGAGACCTTTGCTTTCATGACAAACCAGGAAAGCTCAACAATCTGACTATTCCATTAAAAAAGTTCAACTCTCCTTTTCCCCGCCTAGCCCTTGTCCTCCTGCCCCTGGTATTTGGTATTTCTGCCTTCCTGGAACCACCATTCACACGGTTGCTCAAGCCAGGGAGCTGGAAGTCAGCCTAGACTCCTTTGTACTCCCTGTACCCAATCTACCTCTAAACAGTTCTCAAATTAATCCTGTTTTCTCCATTGCACTGCAGGGCTCTTGCATAAAGTTCTAAAACAATCCCTCAATTCAGAAGTATCAAACTTTTTCTGTAAAAGGCCAGAGAGCAAACATTTTTTGACTCTAGAAACCAAGAGACAAAAATGAAGAATACACATGAACACTAGTGTATTACATAGGCTCTCCCACTGCAGTTGGAGGTAACCAGAAATAATACACTAGAGCAAATAAGAATGGCTGTATACCAATAAAATTTTATTTGAATCTAACATAATTTTCACGTGTCACAAAATACTATTGCTCCTTTTAAATGGTTTTCAGCCTTTTTTTTAAGATTTATTTATTTTCTATGTATGAATATTTGCCTGAATGTATGCATATGTATGTGTGTACCACCTTGGAGCCTGGTGCCCATGGAGGTCAGAAAGAGCTATTGGATTCCCCTGGAACTGGAGTTATGAATGGTTGCTAGCCACTATTATAAACCTCTTAACTATCTCTCCAGTCCCAGGCCTCATTTTTAGGTCTTTTAAGAACAAGGGGCTGAGCCAGGTGGTGGTGGCACACACTTTCAATCCCAGTAATCAGGAGGCAGAGGCAGGCGGATCTCTGTGAGTTGAGGCCAGCCTGGTCTATAGAGTGAGTGCCAGGACAGGCTCCAAATCTGCACAGAGAAAACTTGTCTCACAAGTTTTTCTCACACACTCACACTCTCCCACACACTCTGTACTTTCCTAGGATAATCCCAGCATTCAAGAGGTGGAGAAGCAGAAGGATCAGGATTTAAAGCTAACTTGAGCTATATAAGACCCTGTCTCAAAAAAAAAAAAAAAAAAAAAAAAAAAAAAAAAAAAAAAAGCAAACCCAAAGCTGTCTTCTCAATTTGGGAAGCTGAGGCAGGAGGATCTCAGGTTTGAGGCCAGCTTAGGCTGAGTTCCAGGCTAGCCCAGGATGCAAAAAATGAGACCTTATCTCCAAAAACCAAAGCAAGCCCCTTAGCCAGCAGCCTTCACTTTCAGCCTCTTGGGTGAATGGCCACCCCTAAAGATTCTGGAGTTCTGGTCTTTGAACAGGCTCTGGACTCACTGCTTCATGTCTTCCCTCTTTCCAGTTCCTCTGCTTGGACTCTGATCCCGCTTTGCTTCAAGATCACGTATGCTTCCTTCAGGATCCAGAAAGACAAAACAGCACTTGCTCACACAGTGGGGCTCAGGGCACCTCAGCAGACCACAGATTTCAGCCAGCCTGGAGGAGGGAGAAATGATCAGAGAGGTCCTGGAATACAGGAGCACTGTAAGACACTGAGGAGATGGCTAGGGGGAAGGGCTTGGCAGAGAAGGAAGGTGATGTGTCAGGATAAACAGGAAAAGGGCAATTAAGGAACAATGAGAGGGCTGGGGAGATGGGT